ATTTTTAATGATAATTAATTTAGCTATATAAACTAAACTTTTTATGTTAGGAAAATTATTAGAGGTTAATTTTGGTTAGAGGACCACTTGAATTGATTTTCATGAATTTTTAAATTATATTTTAATTTTTACAATTTTTAATTGATTTAAATGGCTAAAAAAATAAAAATATATTTTTATTTCAAAAATTCATTTTTATATTTTTTATGAGTCTTTATGACTTCAAGGAACTCAAAGATACTTATTTTGTATTTTTATGTTTTTTATTTATTTTATTATAATTATTTTATTCACAAATATTAAAAAAGACATTTTAAATATTAAAAGTATGTTTTTATTCTTTTATAAATTTTCAAACATATTTTTGAGTTGTTCTATGTTTTGACAAGAAATTTCTGAGCTAAATCTCTCCATGTTTAGATGGACCCCATTGCTAATGAATTGAGCCACGTTTTGGTTTTATCCCTCTTTGAAAAAAGAAAATTTCTAAGTCTAACAACATCATTGGAGATGCCATTATAGCTAAATGTGCCACAAAGTTATAAGAAACTTACTAAACGTAAGTTAGGGTCTTCAGATGAAGATCCACCAAATTGATTATTTTGTGTCATCTAAATAATTTTAGGCCTAAGTTCAAAATTATTCGCCTATATAGTGGAATTTTGTATACTTAAGTGAATTACATCCAACGTAAGGTTCATATAAACCCTCAAAGGTCCATCAACATTGCAATCCATATCTGGGTTTCCATGATTTTGATCTGTCATTTCTACGATGAGTTTTTGAAGTTTTGTTTGTTTCGTAATCCTCTTAACAGTTCTCTCTATTTGTGAGTTTTATGTTTCAAGTTCTACATCTCCTAAACTAGGCATTCAATACTCAAGATTTTACTAATAGGATAGATTTCTAACTCTAAAAAATTTATTTGGTATTTTATCTTTTCTTTTAAAAATAAAGGCACAAAATATACTAATCACTTTATATAAACACTACAATTTCCAAATCTAAGTCTTACTGATTCAACTAAAAGTCCCCTGAAAAGTTCTTCTACCATCGCGATTCCTCGACAACTATACCAAAAATGTGATCACTACTTTCTGTACGATATACCTAGCTATTTAGATATTAAAAATTTTTCATTTTAGAATATATTTTATAAAGTTTATAACTAGAGATTTACCATGATTATGAACAAAACACTAGGTAATAATACAATTGCATATATCGTTCAAGTAATATAAGACTTTCTTAAATTTTGAGTATTGAACCCTACAAGGAACCGCGACAGCAATCATTTTTGATGAATTTCTAGTCTACTACAATAAGGTCTTGGTTTGGAGTGTTGATAAAGGTGGTTTTGCTATCACTATCGTATGTTACAATTTTAATCCTTTGTTAAAACTTATCAAAAGCAATCAAAAAGTTGAAATTCATTATTGATAAAAAGTACTTTTCTCTTGTGAATAATTAAGTTGCGTGTAGGTTTGAAGTTTAAGAATGTAAATAGAACAGTGAAAAAAGGAGAATATGTCTATCTAACCTCTTCCAAGTTATAAATACAATTAATTCACTAATTAGTTATTTGATTTTGACAACGGTTCTAGTTGGTGCCACATATAGACATCCCATAACTGTATGCCCTGCCTCTTAACCATAAAGCTCTAATCTAAACCTCACAGATTACTTATCTCCTTAACTTTTCACAACTACCTAAATACTAAGTTTCATAGTTAAATGAAAAATGTGAACATTCTCATGTTGATTCACCATCGTTCACGGTCAGGTTAAGTGGGTCACAACAAGTTTTAACAAATCTTATGGGCATTAAAATATGTAAATTAAGTTTAGGAGAACATTCATCACATATCAATTTAATATTTATTCTTAAACTTTAACACTTACACTTACTACCAAATCATCACAAAAGAAAAGCACAGGGTTTATACAAACACAATGCATTATAGATTCAATAGAAGAATTCATGAAATAAAGCAGTTTAACCTAATTATGTGATTTAAAGGATCGCAAGATAATCAAACAAACTCTACTTAGAAAAAATAATTTCACTAAATTCGTGTTTACTAGAATACAATACAATCAAAACATACAATACTTAGCTTTAATCTCTATGAAATCCATCCACTGAAGTTCTTAACATACAATACTTAGCTTTAATCTCTCTGAAATCCATCCACTGAAGTTCTCTATTTCTCCTTGCAATTGTTGATGCAATCCCTTACAAATGCTCTAAAATTTCCTTACAAATCCCTCAAAGTTAGTGGAATGCTACTCCTAATATGGATTTCATGAAGTCCTTAGGGAGTTCTAGATCTTGGAAATTTGTTCTCAAGTCCCCAAATGGTAGAAAATCCCTCTTTCCATCATCCTGAACCACTAAAAGTAGCATCTTGGCGCTACCCTCTCTGTCTCCCTGGTGTGGTTCTGGCGCCTAGGAGCCAAGAAGTGGCTCCTATGCTCCGTCTTCTCTGTTTCATAGTCATATTATGGTGCCCAAGTATCATATGCTGCACTCAACACTACTAGAAGTTTTCCAACAACATGGAGGTTGTCCTCCCTTGATGAGTGTTGAGCTGTCAGAGCCATCAATGGAGAAGGAACCACAAGATCAACTTGATCTTGTTCGAGTGTTTGGATTGTCTCTTCAACATAAAGTTTTGGGAGTAATAAAAGAACATATTTGCCAAAAAAAAAAAGAGAAATATCTAACAAAAGATATTATGTTATCTGTAGAGGGTAGCTTAGTAATGTGTTGTCTCATCTAAGACTCCTATCAACATACTTATTCAACAAATCCTTTACTCATTCCTATGTAGAGTTTTTCAGGTGTTGCAATAAGATTCAAAAGCCGAACAACAAAATAATATAACAAAAGGCCAAGAATGTACATGTACGGTTCCCAAAATTTTAAAAAAAATATTTTAAACTAAATCTATATGATGTAGAATTGTTCTCTTAATACCTCAGCTAACTTTTTAGATCGACACAAAGTTTGATATCTTCAACTCACTCATAATTTCAGATATGTGAGCTTCAAAAGAATCATTTAGATCAATGATATGTAATGAGAGAGAAATAATATGTGAAATCCTCGCCATCATCACATTCTGAATGGTTTCTTCAAGAGTCATTGAAGCCAGAACTTGGGAAGAAACATCCTTCACAAGGAGATTGAGCTTGGTTCCTATTTGGTAGTCACCCTTACTTTTCATTGCTTTGCCTTTTTTCTTTTGAACTCTTTTTTTGTTGTGGTGATCCTCTCTCCTCCTACATTTTCATGTAGAGAGATGTTCTCAATTCCCCCATCGAGTTCCTTATTTTCTCAATCATGATGTCATCCATTAAAGAGGATGGAATGAAAAGAAGTAGTGACTCATGAAAGGAGCAAATAAGAGATGATTATCTTGAAGACTCAACATGCTAAAAACTTTTATCACATGCACGTAGAGCCTTTTATAGGGATAGAAAGCTAAACATGAAAATATTTAATACTCACACATGGGTCCATTTCAAATCACATGATATTTATTCTTTAATGGACAATAAGTTACACCAAACCTAGAGCTAATTAATAGTATCAACATACGAAATCCTCAAACCTTGTGCAGTTATTGCCTTCATTTATATTGCAAATCTTCTCTTAAAAATATAATACCTCACTAGCATCAAATCAAATTGTTAATAGATTGCTTTTTGCATATATCATATTTCCCTAACATGCACAACAACCATAAATTTGGAATGGATTGCCATGTAACACAAAACTTAGCCATATAATAGAATTAGCCTACTGACTTAGTGACTGAAGTTTGTGAGGCCCTGACTCGAAAAAAGTTAGCAAGTTCAAGGGGCAACTATCTGAATGAGAGTTCTGAACCCAATACGAAGGACATTTCAATAATTTTATGGTTTAAGTTTCTGCTCTTCGTAGGAAAGTTTTGACCCCAGTCAAAGCATTTTGTTAACTTGATAAATTTCAAGCAACTACTCAAAGAAAGGAAAGTTGTGAATTCCAGGCAAAGGACAATCCACACTCAAAAAAACAAAATACAAATCCTCTCTTGTTTATGGCCGAGTTTTAATTATAGCAAGTGTAATCTTTCCTTTAATCCACTAAGGATAAGCCAAATCTTCAAACACTGCATAAATATGCTACTTGTCACCAAGTGTAATGAGATCCTAACAAAGGGTACATACTATTTTTAAGGATCCCCCTCCAAGAAGGTCAGAACTTCTCCAAAGGGAAAAGTATGCATCATAAAATAATCTCACACGCGTATGCCTTATTGTTCAAATACAACAAATATAATGAATGATGTCAAAACTTTCATTCCCTTATTCTTTTTACAGATCATTTCAAAGAGACAAGAATTGCAGTATTAGTATCATGGGCTAACGAGATTATTAACAGGCCTTACAGGGCCATAAAGCCTAACTTTCTATAGTACTGTTGCTAACTTATGTCTACATCCAATTATGGCCATCTTTCATATCATCACTATATGACATCAGTATAAGATGTGGACATACATTTAAGTGTATTAATCATTTAATAAATTCCCTTTGTGTCTCAATAAGAGAGATGAATGTTCTCCAACTATATAAGTAAAGATGGTCTCACATCTACAGGGGACTTCTTTTTTTCCATCTTCTTTCTTTTCTCTTAGCTAAAAGGGTTGATTGAAGTTCACTGTGAAAACATTGTGAAATCATCATGTTCTACTTCTTCTGTAGATCTAGCCTAGATTGTGTGAACCCATCAACAATTTGAGATCTATCATCCCAAAAATATTATATAGTCACGAACATCTATGACTGAAAGGTTAACTATTGAGCCACAGTTTCAACTATACTTTCTAAAGTGAGTTTTCCTGACTCAATGAAAATTTGAAGATATTTTTTCGAAGCATATAATATTATTTCGAACTTATGGGGCTTATTAAGCCAAATTTAACTTAGCAGTATCTCAACGGTTCGCACAAACTGACCAGCATACTCGTTTCCAAGGTTGCCCTTGCCTCTTTTCCCCGCCGCTCCTGCCCCTCACTCTCTTCTTTTTCTTTTTCGTCCAGTGATATCAAAGCCCTCGACTTCGACTGGATCGGGCGCAGACGAATGATGAGAGGTAGATGCACCGGCACAAATTCACCGGCTAAACCTTACTCCCTTTCAATATTTCTTTTCCGCCCCTTCTCGTCGACATCATCCTCTACCGCCGTAACTGCCGCTGATATCGAAACTCTAAACCTCGATCTATCTCCCTCGGTCCGCTCCATCAATTCCACCTCAGCCTGTCTGGCTACTCACCCAGCTACCTGTGGCTCTGCTGACCGCCACCGCCTCTCCTTGCTCCAATCCTGCTTTTCCGCTGCGGAAACCCGCGTCGCCCTGGATGCCTTCATGGCATCTGCCAACAGAGGTCGCAGTTCTTGCCCAAGCCTTAGATCGTACAACACTCTCTTGCTAAAATTAGAAAAATTCAGCATGGTTACTGAGATGAAGAACGTCTATTGTCAAATGCTTCTTGGTGGCATTTTGCCCAACCTCTTTACCTACAACACCATGATAAATTTCTCCTGCAAGCATGGTGACATATCTAATGCGATGACCTATCTTGGTCATCTGGTACGGGCCGGATTGGATCCGGATACGTTCACGTACAACTCATTGATACTGGGTTATTGCAGAAGAAATGATATCTATAGAGCTTGCAAGATTTCTGATACGATGCAGCAAAAGTCCTGCAAAAGAGATGAACACTCTTATACCATACTTATTGATGGACTCTTGAAGGCTCTCCGGGTGGAGGAAGCCTTAAAACTGTTGTCAGAAATGGTGGACGATGGCTGCTCCCCAAACGCTCATACCTATACAGCTTTGATTGATGGGTTGTGTAAGATGAGCATGATAGAGAAGGCAGAGAGTTTACTTACTGATCTTTCTAGGAACAGTTTGGCTTCTAACATTGTTCCTTTCAATGCTTTAGTTAAGGGGTACTGTAAGAGAGGCCGAGTTGATGATGCTTTGAGGATTCTCAGAGGTTTAGATTCTAGTCAGTGTAAGCCTGATTTGTGGATGTACAATCAGTTGATCGATGGTCTGTGCAAGGAGAACAGGCTTATGGATGCAAGGAATATGTTTGATTGTATAACCCAAAAGGGCATGGTTCCTAATGTCGTCACTTATAATGCTTTGATTGGTGGTTTATGCCAGATGAAAAAGGTTGATGCTGCTTTTGAGCTTGTGAGGTCAATGGAGGCTAATGGGCCCAAACCGGATACTAGAACTTGCAATGAGCTCATACAAGGATTTTGTAGTGAAGGGAAGGTTAACAGGGCAATGAGTTTCTTGAGTAAAATGATTGACTGGGGGTTGCCTCCTAATGTTGTCACATACAATATGTTGATACATGGCCACTGCAAGCTTGGTGATATTGATAGTGGCTTTAGGTTGCTCTCTTTAATGATTGAAAATGGTGTCATCCCTGATCAACAGTCATATGGTACATTGATAGATGCACTCTGTAAATGTGGTAAAACAGAGGAAGCATATGCAGTTTTCTCTACCCTTAACCAAAGGGGAGTAAGGGCAAGTAATGTAATGTACAATTCTCTTATACACAGGTACTGTGTTGGAGGACAGATGGATAAAGCAAGAGAACTCTTTGAAAGGATGGTTTCAGATGGCTGCTTTCCTGACACTTATACCTACAATTCTCTGATTGAAGGTTTGTGCAAGGACAGAAGGTTAAATGATGCTTTGCATTTACTTTGTCAAATGCCAGATGAGGGAGTAGAACCTGATAACAACACTTATAACATTCTGATTAATGAAATGTTTAAGGAAGGAGAAACAAAACTTGCCATGTCAATCTTGGGACAAATGATTTGTTTAGGATATAGCTGGGATGTATATACATTTACCATACTAATTGGTTTTTGTTTCAATGAGGGTAGGCTAGAAGATGTAGAAAAGGTCATAGAAGAAATGAAAAGAATGGACGTGAATCCTGATTTGCTTACTTATAATACTCTGATTTGTGGATATGGAAGACTGGGTTTATTGGACCAATCTTTTTCTGCTCTTAAGCATATGATTGATGCTGCATGCGATCCTGATCATGTGACATACGCGATTTTACTTGACTGTCTTCATAGAAGGTGTAGCCCGGTCAGTGAATCAGTTGGTTCTTTTCACATATGGAAAATCATACAGATGGATACCATAGATGAGCTTTTGGGGCAAATGAGTAGTAGTGGTTGTGATCCATGCTCCACCTCATACGGTATTCTAATTTCTGCGTTGTGTAGATTTAACCGGTTTAAGGAGGCACACCTATTGTTCCTTCGTATGTTTGAAATTGGACTGTCACCATGTCATATAACGTACACATCTATTATCAATTGTTGCATTAGTTTAAAAATGCATGAGCGAGCATCACAATTAATTAACTCTATGGTTATTCGTGGTCATCTACCGGATCTAAAATCGTACCAGTATCTTCTTTGTGGACTTTGTAATGAAGGGCATTTTGAGAGTGCAAAGCTAAAATTCATAGAGTTGCTTGAAAGCGAGTATAATCATGATGAAATAATTTGGAATATTTTTATAGGTGGTCTTTTGAAAGCAGGTCATGATAAGTTGTGCTCTGAAATTTTATCTATAATGGCTGAAAGAGGCTGCTGCATCAGTCCTCAAACGTATGCTTTGCTGCTAAGGGAATATCCTGATGTACAGCATAATCTATGAAGTCAATTCAAGGCCAATGCAAGCTAATTCTTTTGTATGTAACATTTCAATGAGGAATAGAACTGGAAGAACTGGAATGAGGCTGGCGATAATGCTCTACTGCCTTTATCTTGCTTTGTTGTGGAAACTTCTAATATGAATGTATTGTCACATGAACCATGTGAAGCAGGCTGAAACGTTTAAGCAAACCTGATCTTGGATGGATATTTTTTATCTGTTAAACTCAGAATGCATCCAAATAGCTGAGGCAAGTCTCTAAGCTTTGTTTCATGTATTCTTGGCAATTGTAATTAATGAATCACATTATTTTCTTGTGTTATTTTCAGGATTTGTTTTGAACAGCTACAGTTGTTTGAAGAGACAGTTGTGAAGTTTTTGTTAAAAAAATTGTTTTTCAAAAAGCTGCAGTTGCTATTGTGATTTTAATTTTATTTTCAAGAAGTCATACTATAGTTTTTTGACAATCATCACATTTTAATCGCTTGGGTTGAGAAAAACAACTTTCTACCTCTCAAATTTCTAAAATGCTGTAAGAAAGGAGTTTCCTAAATAGAAATATTTTCAGAAAAATAGGCAAAAAGCTGTCATAAATTTCAAAAAAGTTAGCATTGGTTTCTTAATTTATTAATAAAGTTCTTCTGCTGTTTTTAGAGTGATAGTTATAGGTTTTTCTAATCATGAATGGTTTTATTCTATTATTGCAGCCAGACATTTTTATCACTTGTCTTGGTATCATTTGGAGATTTGATGCTATATTGGTTTGCTGCATTGTAAATATTATCAACGCTTGTATGGAATGTGTCCTGGAGTTATTGTGAATGTTGTACGCTTTTCCCTATGTAAGGATTCAAATTTTTTTGACACACTAAAGAAATATATCATACTTGTATTATTTTAATAATGACTAGTGAGTGACTTGGGATTTTAACTAGCTGCCACCTATGTAACATTTCAAACCTTTTTTTTTATTTAACCAGATGCAAGCCCCAACTTTGATTCTTCATTATGCATTGATATAAAATCTCTTATAAAAATTTTCCATTAAATCATTTCTAAACCCTAATGTCGCTTAGATTTTCTCCTCCTCCTCCTCTTCTTCTTCTTATTCTTCTCGCTTAGATTTTCTCCTCCTCCTCCTCTTCTTCTTATTCTCTTCTTCTTATTCTTCTCTCTCTCTCTCTCTCTCTAAGCAGGAAAGTGTTAATGATCTTTTCGTCTGCTCCCCTTTTGATCAATTTTCTTTTCTTAATTCTTTTACGTAATCCTATATCATTGTTGCCATATTGCATATTTTTTCATTCTATTTTAATCCATTTTATATATTTCTTTTATTCCAATCTTGCAATATATGAATAGTTTTAGGCCAATTTTTATTATTGGGGTGGCTATTGGACCACTGGAAGTGAGCCAAATAAGATTTGGTGCTCTTTTTAAGCGGGCTCGAAAGTGCATCTATGCCTTGGAGAAGTTGATTACTATATAAAATTAGGTTTACAAGCACAAAAGGGGTCGGTGAGGATAGGACAACCCTAAATCTAAGAAATTCTAATTCTGACTATAGGATATTAGTGTCAGAAATTAGTTGGATCTTTTGAGCTTTGAAATTTCTGAAAAGGTTCATTCAATATGTTTATAAGTATTCTGGAGAGTTTCATGGTTTTGGGATTTTTTTTATTTCCTTACTGGATTAAAAACAAAAACTAGGTTCACAGGAAAATTTCTTTGGCCGACATCACGAATGTATGAATTTGCTTCGGAAAATTAGTTAGAAAATTGGTAATTTGGCGATAAAACTTAAAAATTAATGGTGAAGGTTTCTTGTATGGATTCAAAGAATTTTGTCTTTTTTTTTGCACGGTTATCACTTCCTAATATGAGAGCTTAGAATTATTGCATTGGGAAAGGAAGGCTTGGAAATTATCACTACTCGAATCTCATGGAAGTTTGATAGGTCTTGCTTATAAACACTAAAGGATTGCATCGGGACAGTCAAAAGGTAGAGGGTTGTGATAGGTAGTTGACAATTATTGTAAGATTTATCGAAAACATGAACCATTTTGATTCTTGTGTAAATGGTTAGAATGTCCCTTGGAAGTGATGTATTGTATGACCTGAATATAATGAAAAGTGTGCAAGGGCCGCCACACAGGTGTTTAGGTATAATGTCAAATAAGCAAGGTTTCCCGCATTACGAATAAATGCGAGTAAATAACTTAGTCTATCAAACTAATATTATGATATGATCTTGACATATGCGTATTCTCATAGGTAAATTAATTGAATTAGTTGATATTATAATTCATATAAGGATAAATATCTTATTTATTTAAGAAACTAAATAAGTTGGAGAAAAGGATTAGATTTTTTCACTTTGGTATTCAAGTAGGAGTCATACTGGAAATGGTGTAGTCTTAATTATAGATAAAGGTCTAAAAGATAACATTGTAAAAATTATAGCATTGGAAATATAATTATAACCCTTAAGACTATTGTTGATACTAAGATTTTTAATAGTATAAGTGTTTATGCTCCTCAACTTAAGTTTAGATATAGGTTTTAAATAAAAATTTTGGAATTAGCTATAAGAATTAATACAAATAATACCTTTCAAAGAAAGAATTTTTATTGTAAGAGATTTAAATGGACATGACGATAGAGTGGCAGATGATTTTACAAGTACTCATGGTAGTTATGGTTTTGGAGTGATTAATAAGGAAGGTAAAGCCATATTAGATTTTGCTTTAGCATCTGATTTTGTTCTTGCTATTACTATATTAAAGAAAAGTAAAGAGTTTACTATTACCTGTAAGAATGGATTTTATAAAATACAAATTAATTATTTTCTTATGAGAATATTAGATTGTCGAGAATATACAAGTTATAAGATCATTCCAAATAAGAACAAGGACTGAATATAAATTATTAGTCATATATTTTAAGATGAAGAGTTCTAAAATAAAAAATAGTAAGAATTATTCTCATTGAATAAAATCAGGGATCCAAAGCATAAAAATAAAATTATTGTGTAAATTTGGTAATTTTAAGATTTGGGATGTTTATGTTGAAGTAATTATATGTGGGATAAAGTAACAAACACTGTTAAACAAGTGACAAATGATACACCTAGAGAATCAAATTGAATAGTTTCTATAAATAAAAATAATTGATGATGGAGTAATAATGTGCAAAAAAAAAAGATAAAATATAAGAAGTGTTATAAAAACTGGTTTAAATATAATAGCTTAGAGAGCTGGAAAAAAATATAAAATGACCGATGCAAAGTTTAAAAGAATAATTTGTAATGCTAAAAATTTTGCTTTTCGAGATCTTTATAATAGATAAGATGCTAAAGTGGGAGAAAAATATAAGTATAAAATGGCCAAACAAATAGAAAAGTAAAGATTTAAATCAAGTAAAGTGTATCAAAGGTGAAAATCAAATAGTATTTTTCTTAGAAAAAGATAATCAACATAGGTAAGTGAGTTATTTTGATAAAATTTTCAATAAAATTCTTAAAAATACGACCGACCTTGTTAATCTTATTATCATTAATAATAATAAAATATTTCATTTTTACCATCCTATTAATAAAAATGAAGGTGAGGACGCTTTAAAGAAAAACAAGCGTGGAAAGTGTGTAGGACCCGATGATATCCCAATTGAAGTGAAAATATTTAGGAGATATTGGAGTTTGAAAACTAAAAAGATGTTTGAGAAGTGGAGGAAGTGTATTTTGGTACCATTTTTTAAGAATAATGGGGGTTCACAAGAACTTGCAAATAATAGAGAAATTAAGTTGATTTGCATACATTAAAATTATTGGAGAGAGTAATTGATCATAGGTTAAGATGTATTGCAAAGATTTCTCATAATAAGTTTGGATTTATGTTGGGCATGTCTACTATGAAAGCTATGCATTTATTGAGAGGTTTGATACATAGACAATAAGGAGGATCTACATATGATCTTTATTAATTTAGAAAAACTTATTGGTTAGGTTCCAAGAGATTTACTTTTGAGAGCTCTTGTGAGGAATAATGTTGATATGACTTATATTCAAGTCATTAAAGATATATATACTTGAACTGTTACATGTGTTAAAATAGGAGGATTGACCAATTATTTTACAATTTAAGATGAATTACATCAAGGATCGGCTTTAAGCCCTATATTTTTTTCATTAGTTATGGATGCTCTTAGTCAAGATTTACTGGAGGATGTACCTTGTTGTATGTTTTTTGTTGATGATATACTTCTTCTGGATAAGACTAGAGAAAGAACTCTGGAAAAAAATCGAATTATCGAGGTCTGTACTAAAGTCTAAAGGCCTTAATTTGTGTAGAACTAAAACTAAATACATGGGTAATTTTAGTAGTAGTGGCTCTAGCAATAGAGTTGTAACAATGGGTGCTCAATTCATTGAAAGGTGTGAATGCTTTAGATATCTCAAGCTTATTATTTAAAAAGATGGAGATATAGATAGGGATGTTATTAGTAGAATTCAAGTTGGTTGGTTGAAGTGGAGAAATGCTCTAGGCCTATTTTGTGATAACCAAGTACTGCTTCGATTGAAAGGAAAAATTTATAAGATGGTGGTGAGACGTGAGACCTAATGCTCCATGGCACTGAATGTTGCCTTTAAAAGAGAAGCATAAAACTAAGTTAAGTATTGCCGAGATGAGAATGCTTAGGTGAATGAGTGACTTTACACTTATAGTAAAAATGCAAAATGAATATACCCATGATAGGGTTGGTGTAGCTCTAGTGGAGGAAAAAAATAGAGAGTTCTTAGATGGTTTGGTCACTTTAAACATTGACTATTTGATGATTCAGTTTGGAGAGTAGAAGATTTAGGATGCCATAATTCATTCAAGGTGGCCTTAAAACATATCTCAAAAGATGAGAATAGGATGTCATGCCCCATTTAAGGTGGTCTTAAACCTATCTCAAGAAAATTTGGTAGAGAATCAGATGCGATGATCCATTTAAGGTGATCTTAAAAATGATCTCAAAAGATGAGAATAGGAAGCCATAAGCTATTTAAGGTGGTCTTAAACCTATCTCAAGGAAATTGGTAGAAAATCGGATGCTATAATCCATTTAAGGTGGTCTTAAAACTAATCTAAAAAAAAGAGAATAAGATGTCATAATCCATTTAAGGTGGTCTTAAACCTATCTCAAAAAAATTGGGAATCAGAATGTCGACACTGATCCCAAGAACACTACGAGGATAGTGTAGAAAATTTGTGGTGTTGATCCCATAAATATAGGGAATGTGAAGATTGAAATTGGTGAGGAAAATTTGTATGATTTTGTGCAGAGTGTGAAACTTCGTGAAGAATGTGACAAATTGGTGCAGACAA